GTCGATAACGGAATCCTCCCATTTACTCGCAAGGGAAGCAAAGTGGTCCCAGTTGATGGAGGTCTTGGGGCTTCGTTTCCTAAACTTCATAGCTCTCTCTCCACGCACTGAGAAGGAGAATCTAGCGCGGAGGAGACGGTGGTCCGATCCCGTATAGAATTTCGGAACAACAGCGACGTCGGTCAGGCAAAATCTCCGATTGAAGATGATGTGGAAAGACCACATCATCTTCAATCCTTGAAGATGATGTATTCTCAAAAGATGTAAAGGCGCGGCGTTGGGAGCATTCAAGAATATTGAGGCAAAGAATATCTAATATCACGCTCGATTGTGTTTTTTGAGTTAAAGTGTAGTGTGTTGAAGTCTCCGAGGCGTACGCCAAAGAAGAAAGCAATGTAGAAGAGTGAGAGTGAAGCCGGATATTCTTTGCCTCAATATTCTTGGATGCTCCCATCGCCGCGCCTTTACATCTGCTCACTTCGGGAGATAAGTCGCTCATCACATTGATTTCCCGACCTAAATACACGCAGCTAGAGCATCCTGAGATACCCGCCCCTTTTAACATAGTAGGAGCATCAAGTATCAATCTGTTTTTCATGAACATCGTCTTCGTTGAGTCTGGTCTCAAGCCGATCTTTTCACAAGCACTGCCATATTTGGCGAGCATTCGTTCCGCCTGCTCGATATCTGGTGTAATAAGCACGATGCCGACTGCATAGCGGAGGTGAAGTATAAAGCGGCCGTAACCTTCACTCTCAAGTCTTCCTCATTCCACGTGACGCATCATGTTCGCAAGGGCGGCACTAAGAAGTTTGGTCGAAATGGTATCGCCTTGCCTCTGTTCACGCTGTTAACGACTTCTTTATAAAATGGCGAATTCGCCGCCGTGGTGCGATCGTAAAGCTCACGTCCTTATGCGTTGAGTTGGAACACTCTAGTTGATCGCATCTTCATACCCGCTTCTGTATCGACCTACCAAAAGCCTTCCTCGAATCAATGGCCGTCAGACATAACGGCATTTTGTACTCTCGTGATACTTCAATGAGTCTTATAAGAATGTGGACATGATCGACTCTTCGAAACTCTGCTCGCTTGCATGGCTGTCCTTCATCTAATATCCTGCCAATATTCTTAAGGGTGACGCTTGTAAAAAGCTCATAGATTACAGCTCTGGCTTGATCCTATCGGAGCCGGGCGCCGTGCAATTCTTCATGAACATGGTAGCATGTCAAATTTTAGAAGGAAGAACCAAAAGAGCGATATAATCGTCTTGCCTAGGTAGTAGTAGGTAGGCTCGCTTCGTTGCATAGCTTTGCAAGTTTGGACGTCTGTTCATGATTGCCTGCAGCTCGCGCTATTCCATGCTGACATATCAACTTGAGAGTCTTCGAGTAGAGTCCTTCCTTCGCTACTTGCAGATTTTGTGCTTTCTAGCACTATCGTGGAGATGTTCAACAAGCCGACTGCAATCTTCATCGATGGTGTCGGTAACGGAATGTTCCCATTCACTCGCATGAGAAGCGATTTGTTCCCAGGTGATGAAGGTCTTGGGACTTCTCCTCTTAAATTCACAGCTCTCTCCACGCACTGAGAAAAGGAAGCGCAGAGGAGACGACGGTCCGATCCCGTGTAGAACTTAGGAAGAACAGCGACGTTAGTCAAGCAAAACCTGCGATCAAAGATTATGTGGTCTACTCCGTTATGGAACTGTCCACCAGGTGGCTACAATGCCAACCGCAGAAGAGAGCTCAACCCCAGCTCTAACAATCTTCCTTGCCTACACACCATCATCAAGCTACGAAGAAGAGAACGTGAGGCGTTTTATATGGATATGGAGGCAGTTTTCTAGCTCGCATCACCAGATCATCATCGCTGAAGCATGTTCATCCTGCTTACGTAGATTGCAAGTCTCCGAGACGTACTTTGACTGCTAGAGACTTGGGCTCTACGAAAACAGGATGAACATGCTGACAGCGATGATAACCTGATGATGCAAGCCATGAAGATCAAGCACGACATCAGCTGAATGACCACGACGTGAAGGCATCGCACGCTGCACGCTGTTTTTGAGACTGAAGAAGAGCTGTTCCTTGGAACGTGTGATAATAGAGGCATTGATGCAGTAGGTGTCCTCTTCAATACGCACTTAGCCATGAACATCGATTCCTACGAAAGTTTGAGAACCCCAATGTAACGTTTGCGATTAAGATGTGGTTCAACCTCAGCTCTAACAATCTGCAACCATCGCGTCGTTCCATTATTCGGTGAATTTATACACGCTCCCGACGCAAGCGTCCGTCAGTTGAAAGTATGGATCGCCATACTAGTCTCGTTTTGAGCAGCCTGTTCTGCCCTGAGACTTTAGCAGCCTCTTACGAATCACGCTGCCCTATTGGTGTCTCCCTCAGGTTCAGGGAGAATGAGGCTCATTGGTATTATTGTGTTTATTCGGCGGATAGGTGCTCAACGAGTAGCTTGCTTGGCTGTAACGTGGGATCTGGGTTGACTCCGGCCGCTTGCCAGACTATCCCGAAGTGGGCGTAAGGCTATGACCTCATAGGTACTTCCGATTGACTCGAATGCAAGTTTTAACTGAGGGGCAGGATATCGAGAGTACCCGCAGACTCAGCCAGAAGTGACCCCGAATGTCTTTGTTTCTCGCATGTGTACCCACACACGTATGCGCTGTTACACCTGCGAGAAACAGAAAGTATATCGACCAGCCCAGCGTTTGAAAGGGTGACCATCCCCTGAATCCACCTGCGTTTCTGCGAAAAAAACCAGCGACTTTTAGCCACTTTCCGCCACCTCTGGTTAGGGGAGCAAATCCGCCCTACATAACCTCGTTGCTCACTCCCTGGGATTTTTTATTGAGTGGAAACACTTAGTGAAGAAGATCTGTAGATCAAATTCAATCGGAAGTATTAGGTTGTGTACAAAGTCTTCCGCCACGAATTTGATCGTTCTGTATTTCGTTTAAAAAAGTGTTGGTATTACGTCATCTCGTGTACGTGACGTATACATATTACTCTATCACCCCACTAGTTAGTGCTCTACTACCCTGCGTTTGCCGGCCACAATGACGCACAACCATCACCGAGACAAAATGTACCTTCGGCATTGCCTACTTATGTGTCATGATTTCGGCTTCAGTGCAATGAAGACGCAAGCTAAGCTGATGAAGACCTACGGCGAGGATGTCATCTCTTACGACACATGCAAAGTTTGGTTCGCTAAATTCAGAAAGGGAGATTTTACTCTCGAAGATGCTCCAAGGTCGGGTCGGCCGAGGGAGTTAGATTTGGATGTTTTGCGTTCTACGGTGGAGGAGGACCCGTACCTTACCACTAGGGAATTAGGGGCCAGGCTTGGCTTCGCTTTTAAAACTACTGCAAATGGACTGGAAAAGCTCGGCAAGACATCAAAGCTTGGTCGATGGGCCCCACATGAATTGTCCGATTATGACTTCTCGAGGGGGGTTATCACCTGCACTTCTCTCCTCACTCTCCAAAAGAAGCGTCACTTTCTGAACTCGCTGATTACTGGAGATGAGAAATGGGTTCCCTACGATAACCCTGTGAGGAAGCGGCAATGGGTCAATAAAGGAGAGCAGCCAGAACCCGATCTTCACCCCAAGAAGGTTCTCCTGTCTTGCTGGTGGTCCAGGAAAGGCATGGAGCAATGGGAGCTGCTGGAAAAGCGACAAACAATTAACGCCACCATGAATGTTGGGCAGCTTCAATAATTGAAGGCTCACATCAATCGTACACGTGGAAAAAATGCGGAAGTCTACTTCCACCATGACAACGCCAGACCCCACACTGCAAAGGCGACCCAGGCCGAGCTGGAGAAGTACGACTGGGTGGTGATCCTCCAGGCCCCTTACAGCACTGACCTGGCTCCTTCCGACTATTGGCTATTCAGCCATCTACAGCGTTCCCTCAACGGAAAAAAATTCGAAACGAAGGATGAAGTCGAAAAAGCACTCGACGAATTTTTCAAGTCCCAGCCCCCGTCCTTCTGGGAGGAGGGAATCGACAAGCTGCCCGAGGGTTGGCGTCGAGTAGTGGATGGAGACGGCGCCTACCTCTGATCTTCTGGTTAGTTCGTTTTTGAAAAATTTTAAAAAAGTTCGTGGCGGTGCACGCAACCTAATAATAAAGAAATTACCAAAGGGATCCTTCTCGCACTAAACCATATTGTTACCAAATATATCTGCAACAGTGTTGACGCAACCCTTACGTGTTTCCATTCTTGAAGCATACTTTGTCCAAGACTGTTCGTGGAAGTTGGAGGGTGGGGCGTGTTCGGTTGGTGTGCTCTGCCGTTATTGTCAAAAAGGGAAACATGTCGTGGTTAGTCGTATCTGCAGAGTCAAGCATGGCCTCTCTTTACTCAAACTGTTTGCTACTTTTTCCTTCTTTTGCGTTGTCATTTTCAGGTATGTAGGGAATTTGTGACCTGGGAAAGGGTTAGAAGAGTAGAGAGCAAAACTATTGCCGTTATACCAGTGAAAAGAGACAAAGAGGAGTAAGCCTCGAGGACGACGTTCCGTAGAACGCCTCTTTGCTGTTAGGGATACGGGCAGTGGGAACGATTTCCTGGGATCGATTCGCCGCGCGCGGCTATCGCGAACCATTCCTTCACCGTTACTACGAACTAGCATTCCTCATACAGCTCAATCGATATGCGATACTTATTTTAGGCATGATTCCACTATTCGTTCCATGCTTCCTGTATTACTTACCGGCTGCTGCATTCTGCTACATTCTTTCGCGAGCGGCGTCCCTCTTGCCGCGACGCGACAATATCGTTCCTACTGCACCACATCCTTATCTTACCCTTGCTGTTATATAGGGTGCAGCGCGTAAAAAAATAGAATGTCCCTCCCTATTGAGGATCATAATCTGATGCTACCTTTCAAGAAGTACTGCATGACTCTTTCTGAGATTACCAATTATATTTTGAATGTAACTTGGACTTTTTTTTGAGTGTTTTGGATGTTTATAGACGCTCAGTTACTGATATTCGCCAACAAACAGGACTTTCCCAACGCGATGACAACGGTAGAAATGACGAAGGCCCTCCAGCTGGAAGTGATCAGAGATAGGGAGGTAATAAGGATTAAAGCTGTTCCTGAAGAATAGTGTTCTTTTGCTCAAATCAACAGTTTTTTGAAAAATGCGGGAGCTGTCCTTCTTGTTAGAGCTCGAAATATCTTTTTAGTGGTACGTCCAACCAACAAATGCTGTCAGTGGTGAAGGTCTCATCGAAGGTCTCGACTGGCTCCATTCTGTTATAACGAAGTAAGATCGGAGACAGCGAACGATAGAGAAAAAGGGTGAGAAGCCTGTGACGTATTTTGATAGCTCAACGATTGCTGCCCTATCGATTAAAAGTCTTCCAATTACCTCCTCAATTGTATGCTGAAGTCTTTCAACAACAATGCTTAATTGGATTTGTCGTACTAAGTTTTTGTGTATGAAGTTTGTTAATACAGTCAATGCTAGCTATGTCCTCATGCGATCTCAGTTACAACGGCACACAACTAGCGAAGTCAGATTCTTTGTCTAACAGACAATTACAGGACGATCGAGTACACAGAGGCTATTATGAGGAATGTGAACGAGGATTCGGATATGATTCGGTCGCTGAGGTCGGTCGGAGGTGGTCATCCTTCCCCATCTCTGGCCTCTACAAACTATGCTTAAAGGCACAGTTCACGATAATTTTGGGGTATCCGGTTTTTGACGAAAAATGTTAGGTACGGCCTACAGTAGTACAATGAAAAAGCAGGAACACGAAAAACGATGAGTAAAAAGAAATACAAAGCCTAAAAAAGAAGAGAGAAGAGATGGTGGACGAGTTACACGGCGAAAAAACGGCGGTTAAGGGAATTTTCGGACGAGTAGACGAATGCGACGTAATGTCTGCAATTGCACACAACACGCTCAAACAGCTGATTTTGGCTTCTTCGTTAATATTATTTATTCTACTGCTGATATTAAGCGAGATTATTGTGCCTGATCCTTTTGATGACGGCTGAGAATTATTAAAGGCGCAGTTCACGATAATTTTGGTGTGTCCGGTTTTTGACGGGAATTGCTAAGTATGGCCTACAGCAATACAATGGCGAAGCAGAAGACGCGAAAAACGACA